GGGCGGGTGCCCCTGCGGGTGCGCGGGGCCTGCCGGGTGCCCGGAAGACATGGTTTGGTGTTACGGGCGCGCCAGAAAATGCCGCTGTGCCTTGCTGGCGCCGGGGTGTGAAGCCTGGCCCTGTGTCACTGCGGGCGCCTCACCTGACGCGGCTGCTCCGCGGTCAGCGCTGCTGGGCGTTACACGCTGCTGTTGTTAACCGGGTGCTGGTCGCCCGTGCCAGGTTTCCCTCCCAGCAGTGCCGTGGGTGATAACCATCAATTCCTTTAGATTATTTTCCACTTCGCCTGTAGAAAACGGTGCATATTCCTTTTTGATAGTGAAATGCCCTTATGTGCATTGTTATAATTTCATATGAGCAAGTCTACTGTGTAGATCTGATACGCCCCTATGTGACCAATGGTCATCTTTTTTTAATTTACATGACTCGGAAATGAAGTGTTTGGGTTGTCATTCCTGCAGTGTGTGTGTATAAGAGTAGGCCTTGCCATCTGGAGGTTGGTGAGGTAGTGAGGGAGAAGTACAAGGAACAGGACTGTAGCTTGAACCTGTTCCCAATGTTTAAGGATATTTCCCTGTAATTCACTTTTAGTCCGTCTCTCACATGTGTATTGTTCAAGTTGCTTAAAATACTGCCTTGCATTTCTTGACTGTTCAAATGAGCAAGTTTTGTTCCGTTGGGGTATAATGTAATAAGCTGCAGATTCTGTAATAAGCTTGCTATTTGACAAGCTAAATCACATGCTAGGGATTGATTTAGATGGCAGGAAGAAAATGGTCCTCTTAGAGCTTTCTTGGACATGGTTTCCCCTTTCATGGTCTGGGGTGGGGGGAGTAAAAGCCAAAACAAAACCAAAATCATCCATGCAGTTTATATTTTGTGTACACAGAGAGAGGAGGAGTGAAGCAATAGCAATGTGTGAGGGTAACAGTGCTGTTACGCAGTGCAGAGGGTATGGATGCATCGTCAGAGGTCTCCATAAATGTTGTTAACTGCCCTTCTGGGACAAGACTTACTCTAATTGAGCAATTAAATAGGTTTCTTTTTCTGCTAGTTTAAACATGGAAGCAGAGCTGTGACATGCTAACTTTTGCATTTGGTAGGTTTTAAGGTATTTGGTCATTCACTTATGTATATGCTTCTGATATAATTTTTGTAAAGCTGTACAGCTTTTTTTTTTTTAATAATAATAAATTAGGCCTTATCTGTGACTGTTATTTCGGCAATTAGAAAATTAAAAGCCTGTGCCCCACTGGCTCTTCTTTTTCGTATTTAAAAGCAATTAAAAGATGGAACGGAGATCGATGAAATACTCTCGTTCGTTGGAAGACAATATAAAACCTTACCATAGAAGCAAATCAGTGAAGTACTGTGTATAGGACAGCATCTAGTTTTAACTAGATTTCATTACTCAGAAAAGCAATTAAATTGGCTTCTTTCTAATTTCAAACTGAAATGGTGTTAACTCACACTTCAGTTGCATGTACATGTCTTTTATTCATTCAGCT